AAGTAAGGTGCTAAAAAACTTGACAAGATTTGAACTTTTCATGTTTAAACTCTGGATCCATCTATGAATCATCATATCAGTTATCATTTGATCTCATAAATATGCCATAAAAAGTAAACTGTTGTATTTTGTAAGAACTTGAACTTACAGGCCAAACATGGTGGTAATGAATCTCACTCTTTCTCCAAAGAATATTGAATAGATCAAATAAGTAACTTGACTCATAGCTATGAGTTGTTCCATTGTTGCTCAAAGTGGTCTCATATGGAATTTGCTCCCCAGAAGCAACAATAGTTAAAGCTAGAACAAGCAAACCACTCACAGCAACTGTAAATTTTCTCAAACCCTCCAATTTAAATCCAGTTTTAGCCATCAATTTCTGAGTCCCCACCTTTTCACTCTTCTAAGATAGACAATAATAAATATTGACCCAAGTCAGAAACCTGGAAAATAAGCTCAAATTAGAAACAAGAAAAATCAAGAATTACAAAAGTAAATACAAGAAAAATAGCAACTTTGGAATTGAAGTAGAAAAAAAGAAGGCAACTTTATGAGTTGAGAGTTGAACTTTTCCAATATCAATACAGAGGAGACAGGTACTCGCAAGTCGCACAACAACTGAAGGTACACTTTTGCTTTTGGACAACGTTTGAAATCAGCTTGCTTCAGCTCTTTAATGACAATTTTTTACTCTGCCTTTCATTATTTTTCTCGCACTTGGCCATACTTGTCCTTCTTTGTTAACAGCTGGTAATACTGTCACGCCAATTTAAATGCTGAAAGTTGAGATGACTACTTTCTCAGCTCGAGTAAGAAATTTTATTAAGTACGAAGGATGGATGCACAAAGATAGTACTAGGGGTGTGCATTCGGTTTTTTGGTTTGGTTTTACACTATTCGGTTTGGATTTTCGGTTTTTGGTTTTGTAAAAGTGTAACCCAATCCGATCCAAAATAAATTTGGTTTGGTTTGGTTTTTCTCTATTCGGTTTGGTTATTCGGTTATGTCAATAATTAATAACATATATAACCAAAGTAATAATATTTAATCTCTTAAATATACTTTCTATTATAAATCATAAGTTAAACTTAAAACACAATACTTATAAGTATACCTATTGTAGATGTAATTCAAACATAAAAGGGAGAAGACACAAGTACCCCCTAGACTATGACCGAAATCCCAGAGACACACCTTAACTAAATTAAGGTCCTATTACCCCCTTGAACTCATTTTTTTTGTAATTTTGTACACCTTTTGACTTATGTGGCACTCCACGCAGTATATATATATATATAATTCGGTTTTTTTCGGTTTTTCGGTTTTTATCTTTTAAAATCCAAAACCAAACCAAAAAACCAAACAAAGTAATTTATTAATCCAAAACCAATCCGAAAAACCAAAAAACCAATCCAAATAAAATTTCGGTTTGGTTTGGTTTGGTTATTCGGTTTAATCCGAATAGTGCACACCCCTAGATAGTACAAATGATGGAATAAATAATCTCTAAATTAATTAAATCTTTATTTCTTGTATTAATAAATGACACTTATGAGAACTCTAGGTAAAAAAAAAGCTAATGAAATTTAATATCTACTTATAAATATTATAAAATTATTAGTTTTAGTCTTATATCAACATTAAAAGAAATTACTTTTTAAAATTTGGATAAACTTCTTGCGTCCTACCTTCACCCTCCTCTCTCTCTCTCTTCGTTTTCCTCAAAAGTTTTTTTATTTTATTGAGCCTTTTCATTGCTACAACCTACAGACGTAACCTAAGATATAGAAACTCGTGGTACTGAAATTATTGAGTTTATTCTTAATTATCATTTGGCACTTGACCAACCAATAAGCATCTCCTCACATAGAGAAGTAGTCAATTTCAAAGTAATAGTACTCAAATAATTTTGAATATAAATGTAGGGTTGGCTTAGCAGTGATTTAGGTATATGTTAGATAAGAAGATGGGGCATAGTGTAGCAATGAAAAGTCCTTCCTCGTACATTTATGTAACGTCATCACTAATTACTACCATTAACTAAGATTTATTTGTATATGTAATGTAATGTTGCTCATAGGAGAGAAAATAAAATAAAAAAATTCAACAGTACATTAGATACAGTATTAGAAAGAGTAACTTTCACATATAGCAAACACAAAATTCATATTTGTATGTTATAGCAAAGTTTGCATAATTTGTGTTTCATAGCAAACATACATATGTATAATTCGCTATATATATACAAAAAAAAAATAGTTGTATAATTGGCTATACATATACAAAAGAAAGCAGTTGTATACAAAAGATCAATTGTATAATCTGTGTATGTATTAAAACGAGAAAGAGAGAAAGGCAAAAGAAAACTGGACAGAAAAATATTTGTATTGTATAATTATAAGTGTATATGACGAAGATATATGTATTTGCATGTGTATATACAATTTTCTCTCACTTTATACAAACAGAAGCGCAATTTATACATTTCGTTTATGTTTGTATAAGCGAGAGAGGCGAGGGTGGCGAGCGAGATTTGGGAGAGTGATGAGCGAGATCTGGGAGAGGGGAGAAAGGGGAACAAAAATATATGTATATTTACAATTTCCTCTCGCTTTATACAAACACAAACACATTTTATACATTTGTGTTTGTATAAAAGCGAGAGAGGGCGAGCGAGACTGCCACCAAACAAGAGTGGCAAGCGAGATTCCATCAGGGAGAGTGGCAAAAATAGCAATAGTTTGTTATAGGGTACAATTAAATCAAAATATATTTATAGCATTTAATTTGAATTAATAATTTGCTATTATATACAATTTTCCTATTAAATAAGATGCGATATATAGAATTTATGAAGTTGAGAATTGGGACATAGGTCCCTACGGTCCCTGTTGTACGTTTATGTGGTGATATAAAGTCAACAATTTTTATCAGCTAATTTGAATTAATAATTTGCTATTATATATAATTTTCCTATTAAATAAGATGCGATATATAGAATTTATGAAGTTGAGAATTGGGGCATAGGTCCCTACGGTCCCTGTTGTCCGTTTATGTGGTGATATAAAGTCAACAATTTCTATCAGCTAAATCCAACTCATCATGGCCCATCTTCACTAGTATTTAATTTCCATGTGTGAGTTGATATCTTACTGAACTGCTATTTATTAATACTGACTTGTGTGTTTGCAAGACATATGAATTGAGCCACTATAATACTTAGGGTTAACCCATCGGTGGCCCCTTAAAGTTGACATCAAATTTCACTTAGACACTTTAACTAAGTTTTGTTCATTTTAAACACCTTATGTAGAGTTTCGTTGTGTTATTTGGACACTTTTTTAATAATCACCCAAAAATATAAAGTGTGTGTTAAACACTCGCCGATGACGTGTCAAAGTGACAAATTAAACAAAAACACATGTCATATATATAAAAAATAATTCTAAACTAATGGCTTTTAAGTAAAAAGAAAAATAACCACTGATTTGATGGCATGTGGCATTTCAAACTCAAATAATAAATATGTTTTAAAAAGAAATTCATCACATCTAATTTTCATCAAGAAACTCACCCTTGTCTTCTTCACCCAACCAACCCAGGCGTCTTCTCCACTCCACCCATCCCAACCCCAACCGCTCCTCCACCCCCACTAGATCGTCCATCCTCTTTACCCCCACCCACCCCAACCTCAACCCCTTTTTCACTCTATCCTCATTTCAAGAAACATTTTTAAAAGAATTTAATAACATTGAAAAAATTAATTTATAAAAGCATAATTTTTTTCTCTTCTTTACTTCTAAAAAGAATCAGTTATAACTAACAATGGAAGAATTGTTTTTTTTTTTGCATTTCTCGTATGTGCAGAGGATTCAAATATGTGAACAAGAAATAGAGTAATTATTTTGTGGCACTGAAATTTAATTGTTGGATCTAAAGAAAAAGAATGAGAAGAAGATAATGGTTGTGGTGATTTTCAGATCTGTAAAATTAAAAATTGCTTCGATTTTAATAAGATTAATGGCGATAATACAGCGGCGGTGGGTTGATGGTGTGTGGTGGATGAGATAATCACAAAGAAAGAGGGAAGAAGATGAACAGTGTTTTAAAAATAATTTTTTGGTTAAAAAAAACCTTTCACGCGCTGACTTTGAGTGTATTACACTCACCATGCCATGCCAGCGAAAAGTGTCAAAATGACACAACGAGATCCAACATAAGGGGTTTAAAATGATCATCGCCTAGTTGAGGTGTCTAAGTGAAACTTTGTGCCAACTTTAGAGGGCTACCGATGGGTTAGGCCTAATACTTAATTGAATAAAACAAAAAAGACTATGTATCGTAAACGTGTTCCATCATTTTCGTACTTCATTGGACAAACAAGAATTGACACTCTATTACATGACTATGGTAGATTAAATTTATTGAAAAGATGCATATGGGTGTTACAATAGTTGAAATTGTGCTATATTTTCAAAATACTATACTTTTCAACTGATCATTATATTTATACCCTCGCGCAGAAGCAAAATTCATGCACAAGTTGTTCATCTTCCCGTTGGGACCAATTTAAGCATAGATAATACGGTATTCATATTTTAGATCAAAATGAAGTAAATATTCCTGGTTCGAATGGCTTTGACAACTTTTTTTTTTTTTTTTGGATGTTCGTTTGAATATGCTATCGAAGTCTCATTTATATAATGACCAATTTGGTGTGGTGTGATAGTTTTGCCTCATTGTTGGTACTAGTAAACATTAAAAAGGCATCAACATCTAACACCTAAACCAAGCCCAACAAACTGAATCATGGCATCTGCACGACCTTCAACTCCAAATTCAATTTAAAGAAACGAGTTCATTTATTTAATGTCTCAGCTACCACATTTTAGTGGAAATAAATTCGATGTAAAAATCTGCAAATTGAATAGAAAAAAATTTCTAAATAATTTAGGTGTAAAAATCAAAATATCTTGAAAAAAGAACATGCAACAAAAAATATGATTCCATCAGTTAAACTTCAAATAGAAAATGTTTTAGTACATGTCTAATACTAGTACTACAATTATTCAAAGAAATTTACAAGATATGCAGCAAAATTAGAATTATATCTTACTATGATTACATGCTCATACAAAACCTTCAACTAGAGTTGGCTTCTCACTTTCTTCCTCTTCCTTTTTCTTAATTTTTCCCCTTTTGTCTCCTATCTCCAAACCCTGCAGTCCATCCACACAAGATTGACCTCCTTCCGGAAGAGATGATCCACCCACCAAGTCACTGCCCTCTTCCGGATCCTCATTGCCAGCCACCACGTCGCTCGTTACTTCCGGCACTTCACCGCCGCTGCCCTTCTCCGTAATACATCTTCCGGGAATGTTGTCAATACCCTCCGTGATTCCTACAAGAGCATCCTTGGTAGAATCCTCGATTGGCGATGGAGTTTTAACACACTGGCCTTCGAATGATTCGTCTTCGTCGTCTGATAGAGAAATCATAGATCGTACGGCGGTGGCGGCTTTGAAAAATGCCTCTTTGATTAATTCCGGTGGTAGAGCACAATCTTCGAGGCCTGCATCTTCGAGAAGCGGTGGCCGAATTTTGTCGAGCAAACTTTCCGATTCCTTTGTTAACTCCATTGTTTCAGCTGGTAATAATAATTCACTAGAGGAAAAAGCCCTAATTTACTTGAATTGGGAACCCTAAATAGAGAATCGATTGTGAATTGTGAGGCAAAAGAAATGTAGACCACTTCCTCGTTTGTATATAGCGAATCGGTACGTGGCACCACTTTCAAACCGACATAATTATTATGTCGGTTAGAGTCCGAGAAAGACCCGAATATCTCGTGAAACCCGCAGCCTAAATAGAAGTAATATTTCGATAGGGTTAGCTATCGTGGGTTAGCTTATTTCACCATGTATATGAAATAACTTATCTCATCACTATGATATAAATGATGGAATAAGTTATCTCAAACATGTCAACCAAACAAAATACAAAAATTTTATTTCATCACTATTTATTTTTATCCCTCACATCAAACGATCCCTAAGAATAATTATTAGCTTTCGCATAATATGGGATTATTTGGATTACATTAAAGTTTGCTTACTTGTGATTTGCTAATAAATGCCTTAGTCGTCTAACGTATGATTAGTTTTAGGCCTTTAGCAATTCCATTCTTCTACTTTTGGTTAAGAATTGTTTGTGTCTATGAAGTTCATGCATAACGTTTGCAAAATTGTTGATTGGAATAACGTTTCAAGACAGGATTATTGATTAAACAAATATGGAAGTCACTTTTTGCACTTCTCATAACAAATTAGTTTTTTATAATACGTATGTGTTTATCATCGATACTTTCCTGAACAAACCTTTTTAGACAATGTAAATTATGGAAGACTCTTATAAAACAAGACATCACTCCAAAAAGAACTTCAAAAAAAAACTAGGCTCATCATTCTCAATATAAGTACAAATTAATAAAGTTGGGTATAGTTCATGACTTTGGAAACTACTAGTGTTCGTTTAAGTAGCCAGGAATACAAAAGGACAATACGTCGTTGTTCAAAAGTTAATTTACAAGCCCATTCCTACAGCATACAGTCTGAAATGAGCGAATAAAAAATGAGTCCAGTGAAAACGGGTCAAACCTGTAGTCAAGTGAATGGATCATGAACAGTACATTATCATGTATCATTGTAGAGTCTGAAACATCAATAAGTATCCAAGGAGGAAAAAAATTAAGGTGCAACATCATAATTACACTTCCGAAGAGAGGAGTCCGGAATCTAAAATCAAATACAGAGAATTGAACCGTCTTGTAGTAAATAAATCATTAGATCAAGGGAACTTGCACTAGCAGTCTATGGAATAATGCAACCAAAGGAAATCTTCAACATTCACAAAGGAACTCTTCAACATTCACATCCTGTTGATCTTGGTTGATTTCCTCCAGCAACATCAATAGTATCGGGAAGGTATCTACAAGGTTAAGATGAAAAGAGCACTTAACTTCAACAAAAATCTTTAAGGGGATCCTAAATGTTTTGACATACAAAAATTGGCAATTTCATTGTGCCTCTCAAATGATTTTCAAACTTCTAAGTTAAAAATATAAAGGCAATGTTAAGGTATTTCAAACTTCACAACTAATTTCGTCAAATTACCCTCTAGATGTGAACTAGAACAATCAAATCGGAACAGCAGAAATAATTTTCAAGATCCTTGATTTAACTTATCTTCATCAAAATATACCTATCAAGATCAAGGCTAATCAGTTTTCTGAGATCATCCCTCACCTAGAAGACAGTTTTTTCATGACTAAGACATTGACTGACTCCTTCAAAATAGTTCTTCAGACACTTCTACTTCTAAAACAACAAGCTATTTCTCTTTTTCCCAGTCATAAGCACAGGCCTTTAGGAACCAACTAAGGTTCAAAATATAGATACTATCCTGTTTGGAAGAGCTACTCACATTTCTTCTTCAGGTTCATTTTTCAGAGCATTTTTAGCTATACACTGGAAAGCTGCATCCACATTGAATCCCTCTTTTGCGGAGGTCTCAAAGTAAGGTATCCCCTTGGAAGCACACCATGCCTTGGCTTTCTTCTCAGACACCTGCAATCCACAGAAACCAATCTTACGAAACCAATGATCCATCCATTTACATCCATCCAAAGATACCAAATTCAGTAAGAGCATCACTCATGTGAGGAAGAATAATCAAGAGAGATTAATTTACCACTCGACTATTGCCACCATCAACATCTATCTTATTCCCCAATACAACAAATGGAAAGTTCTCAGGATCAGATGGGCTGGCCTGAACATTAAGGAAAAAATTCTCAGAAATCACTTCTACACGTCAAAGCTTGCAAGCAAATTATGAATCTATAACTCTATACTACCTGGATCAGAAATTCTTCTCTCCAGTTGTTAAGGTTCTCGAATGACTTCATGACATTCACATCATACACTAGAACACAACAATCTGCTCCACGGTAGAAAGCCACGCCAAGGCTTTGGAACCTTTCCTGCCCAGCTGTATCCCATATCTAAGGCAAACACAATAAGTCCAGTAGATTAGAAGTAATTAGGTCAGCAACTCTGGAGAAGTATCCAGGATTTCTGGCCATATCCTAAAGCACCATATTTCAATATCTTACAGGCCATAAATTCAAATTAACCTAAAAACCATGAAGTTAGAATGCTCCCATTATACTCGAAGAAATCATTAATTGGAGACAGCTATAATTTCCACTAGACTACAAGAGAAAAAGAAACATTTTTTTGAGAAAGCTAAAAGGAGGAGTACAGGACTGCAAGAAAATTATATCGGCTTTGACGAATATGTGCATTAAACTTGTCTACGATTGCAGCTTCCAGATCAAATACACAGCTAGATTTCAGACTCACCTATGACATTGGATGTGGTAAAAAGACAAATAGGTGCACCAAGAACAGAAGGTTGGTTTTATTTTTGAACTAATGCATCTATCTTGACTCAATGATTTTATAGCAAAGTCTCTGCTACTAGTGTAATATGTGTGTGAAGAGAAAGGTAGGATAAAATAAAAAGAACTCAAGAGTAGTTTACACTGTATATGATGGTGGTGTCAAAGAAAGGATGTTGTAAGAACCCCAGCTATTCATATGCCACTTTACTAGTACATTAACTAGCCAACAGCCTCCAAAATCCTGTTATGAGTTATGACTTATGAGATTAAAAGTTTTGCTCAATTTTGAGAGGCATTTCATTCTGAGTCTAAAACTCCCCAATTCAGGATGAGGATAAGATAGAAGACCTTTTACCATCCCCTGGAAACAGTTAACAAGTCCTGAAATATGAAACTAAGAAAGGCAAAACGTAGAATTTGGACGTAAGAAGCTACGGAAAATGTGGCAAGAACATTCAAGGATATTTTATCAAACTCGTAAAATAAAATTATCGAACATCGTGTATGCAAACAACAATATCCTATAACAATAATAACTACACCCCATTTAGAAGTAAGAAGCTACGGAAAATGTGGCAAGAACATTTAAGGATATCGAATCAAACTCGTCAAATAAAATTAGTGGACATCGCATATGCAAACAACAATATCCTATAACAATAATAACTACCCCCAAATCTCAAACAAGTTGGGGTCGGCTATATGAATCCTTACTGACCATGTTTCCACGTTTGAGCTCAATTCATGTTATCATCATACCAAATACTTAAAAATGAAAGTGAAGCATAAGTTAAATATATATAAATAATTTAATGATAATATTAAAAGATCAATATATTTTTACTGGCATATAAATCTATGACTAGAAAAGCAATAGGTGCAGACTCCACTTATTAGCAAGCCAAACCTATCCCAAACTATCTATATGAATCTTTTACTTCCATTATGCCTTATCTTTAGACTGGAGATTGGTTCCAAGAAATTGTAGGTCTATCGAGATAATTGCCTTTCATACATGCGATTTTAGGTCTACCTCATCCCCTTTCTAATACCTTCATTCACCACAGTTTTACATCTACAGACTGATGCACCTGTAGGTCAATGCATGGCATGATCAAACCATCTCAAACAACTCTCTCTCATTTCATCCACAATAACAGTATCCTATGAGCAAATAGATCATGTAATCAATTATTACAGAAAAGTCTAAGGTGGGCTTAAATGGAGCAACATGGTCAATGGGGATTCATATGGCCGACCACAACTTTCTTGGGATTTAAGCATACTTGTTTTCTTGTTCATACACAAAACGGATATTTAACTGACAAGCAAAAAGATACTCTGTTGCAAACTACTTCTTAGAAGTAAAAACCTTACTAAGAAGAACCTCCACATTGTTGCTTGATAGTACAACAACAACAACAACATACCCAGTGAAATCCCACAAAGTGGGGTCTGGGGAGGGTAAAGTGTACGCAGACCTTACCACTACCTCGTGGAGGTAGAGAGGCTGTTTCCGGAGGACATTGTTGCTTGATAGTAAAAATAGTAAATTGCAGAAGAAATGGTCAGTCTAGAAGGGGGCAAGAGAAAGTATGTGACTGAACATGTCAAAACCATGTCTATTTTGGAGAAAGCTTTCTGCAATAGACCCTACAGAAATGTCATTACATCTCATAGGCATTACTCTACTGAAATGTCATTACATCTTGACACATGATTGATGTTAGAAATGAAAGTCGTGTTAATTACATTTGTTATCTGAAATTATTGTTAAGGGGCGAGCAACAATGGACAGAGCAATTTCACGGAACAAAAGAGGACTGAGAATATCTTTCGCTGTATCTTCTGAGTCTTGAAACTAACCTGTAATGTGTACAACCTATCCTCAAACTGAACTTCTTTTGTCAAGAAATCAGCTCCAATTGTGGCCTTGTATTGGTTGCTAAACTTGCGATTCACATACCTAAAGTAAGTATGGAAGAAGAGTATACAGTAAGAAGGAGCCCAAAATGGAGAAGAAAAATATCTACTTTAAATTTAACAGAGAGGAAATTTGAAAGTACTGGTTCATCAGAGATGTCTTCCCCACCCTACAAACGGATCAAAAGGTGAGTTAGTCACACACATTACGCGATAAAGCGGTGTAAAACAACACATAGACATTTAAAAATGAAGACACAGGATCCATCAGAATCAACTCATGAATTTACAGAACACAAATAATTTATGGCTCCATCAAGAGGTATACTAAGAAAGTTCAAACAGGAATAAAAATTAAAGAAAAAACTTACAAAGGCAAAATGCCATTATATCAAAATTGTTCTTTTTTAATATAAAATTACAACTTCAAACAAACAATTTTCAACCAACCCCCTATCTATATATGAAACCAAAACGAATCACTATTTCACCATATATTTTCCTTAGATTCACCTTAACGCTCATACTACAGTCAATTCGTTTCAATTTCTCATCGGTCAAAGAATCAATAGGGAATAGAAAGACTAAAAAAGCAAATTCAGCTGCTATACAACGTTAACAACAATCTGATGCTCTCAGATTTGGGACGAAATTGAATGAAACCGAATCAAACGATATAACTTAGATTACGGAAACCAAAACAACAAAATTGCATGAAACAATCATTACATTGGCAAAGAAACCGATGAGATCGGAATAATTAGATGAGAATTTAGGAAATACTAACCCACTATCGCCGAGGATTATGACCTTGAGAAGCATCCGCCTTCGAGAAGCCATAATTTTTTTTTTGAAACCAAAAAAGCTTAAAAATTCAAAGAGCAGTGATATTGAATTGAATTTCGTTTTGGTACGATCAGCTTTCGAGAAAGAGAGAGGGAGGAGTGGGGTGGGGTTGGGTGGACACAAATTCTTTTGCTTGCGTAATTAGTTAAGAAAAAAATGCAAATTTTACCAGTGCTAAAATGCCCAACTTAATAATTAATTTTATATTTTAAAAATTAACTAAGTATAAGTAACAAACTAGAGAATTGTTTGAAATGGGAATGAGATGCACAAAAATTATTCCATGGATTGTGATTAGCTAGCTATCTTATCGATAATTTATTTATACAAATGGTGGATAAATAATTTTAAAATTAATTAATATTCATAATTATGAGCAGCCTAATATAAATATAATGCTATATACCTAATGATTTCTAATAATAAATTATTTTTTGAGTTTTAAATAAGGATATGTAATGGAACAATGATAAATAAAAATGAACACAGGAATTATAATTCAAAAATTCAATCGTCACATCTTTATTACAGCGAAGATTGAGCTTGTAAATAGGATATTCCTCTTTATTCGTATTTTGTGCTTACCCAAAACTTCCACCCAAGGCTAATTAGACCCCATTTTTTTTTCCTTTTCTTAATCAGACCCATCAAATTTCCTTCCAGGGTCTTTTTGATCCCCTGATGGCTCACTAGTCACTTCTGATTTGGGGTGTGTATATAAAGCATACTTCAGCTATTTTTAGTAAGCTAGATGGTCAAAAGATACAAGTTTATTGTTAATTTCAAAAAAGAATTGGGTGACATCATTGTGTCAACAAGATATCGACAATGATGATAACCATCACGTTATTTGAAATTTGATTACCTGTATTCCACTGTCACTCTAGCCATGAATTTGAAGTCCAAATATTACTATTCGGACAATAATACATACGACAACCAAGATTTGGTCAAAACAACATGAAACAAAGCTAACTGTTTCATTTTTTATTTCACCATGAAATATTGTAAAAGCTGAGATCGTTGTGCTCTAATTGGCTCAGAGTAAAAATGTATTTACATCAAATCAATAGATGCAAGACATGTATCTTCACACACACATATTAAACATGACCTGTCCACGCAGTGTGGGTAAGTATTAACCAGTTTCAAGGATAAAAAAAATACAGCCAACTTCATGGCTTTCATACAATGTTTTTGATAATCCTTTCTTTACATGTAACTTTTGAGGAACTAGATATGGGAACACTACAAAATCTGCAACAGCACCTAGATCAATTGATAATTACAAAGATGAGTGGCATATGAAAGGTATGCCAAATTTAACAATTCTCTAAACACACAAGAGTTCATTACATTGCTCCCTTTCATTTGAAAAAATCACTCTTTTCTGCTTCCTAACTGCCTTCTAGTCTATTCTAATTTCTCGATGACCTTCAATACTAGAGCGTGTACCTTGAGTTGTTCTTAGGCCTTCACTACTTGAACCGGAAGGATGGGGGCCAAATTCGCTGGTAGGCCCACTGCATTCACTAGAATTATGTGTCTGGCTTTCCAGTGCCATCTTTCTAAATTTCTTAAGGTCTTCTTTGTACTGAACAGCATCGAAATCCGAGCTCCCATAAGATTCATGTATACCACTATGTCCAGGTCTAAGTCCATCATTTAACTCATCCAACGGCAAATTTCCTTCTAAAGCTCTGACAATCTGCATAAGAAAAGTTCCAACACTGAATATTAAGCCAAGACAAGTCTTCTTTGACAGTAATAGAATTCTGGGGAAAAAAATAAAAAGTGGTAAGCATGAAATTTAAAAGGCTAAAGCCATTCAAGAAGAAAAGAGAGATTAGAGAGAGGGAGACTAAGTTTCCAACTTGAGATCTCAAAAAACAAAGTAACAAGAAGAATTGGTATATTTCAGATGCTTCCTAAATCCTCAAATATAGTGTAACCATCTAGGGGTTGAGAAAGGTGATTATAGATCCAAGTTATTTCAAATTTTCAATTGTATAGTCCAGCTTCTGCTGAGCTAACGCAAGATGAAGCAGCACTCAACAAGTTGTTCTATTCCATTTGGAAGGACAGTTAAAAGGTGAGTATGCTACTAAAAGGGGGTATTTTGCTTTCTTTCCAAGTAGTTTCACGAGAAATGATACATTGCTTTCTTATTTTAACATCTGAAACTCAAGGAGACATTCTCAGGAAATCTCTTGTAGACTTGCTGTAATTGTTAGTACCCATAAAGAACACAATGTGACACAGTGTTGTCCCGAGAATTTATAAAGAACAAGGTTTGGGGAATTTGAGGAATATTCCTAAAGGACCTAGACTAGGGAAAAAAAGAAGGTAAAACTACAAATATGCGCTATAAACTCCTTGTAATAAGTAATCTACATTTTGAGATGCTAATTGTGCAAGGAAACAAATATTGGCACCTGGAACACGTAGTAGGAAGTAGGAACTGGTGAGTAAACATTTAATAGGACAAAAAATGTTCTTTAGGCGACAGGTATCAGACACCAGTTTAGGTGTCGGAGGGGTACAACTAATAACTATTTCGGGAAGAAAAGAAGCAAAAAGACTCAAATATAAATCATTACAACCTTTTGTCACAAGAGGAATTTAACCTTACTTTCTAAGTTCAGACAGTTCCGTTCCACATGCAAATCTAAAGGTAATCATGCAGCTACAGTGTATGAATAAAATAGAGCTTTCACAAGTAGAAGGTACCTGACTCATACGAGGCCTGCGACGTGCTAGATGGCGCACACACACAGCAGCACAAGTGACCATTCTGGTCATTTCAGTCAAGTCATAATTCTTGTCCAATCTTGGATCAGCCAGAGTATCAAAGTTGCCATCATCCAGAGCCTGAGTAAGCAAAGGCCTCGCCTAATTTCATGAGAGAAGTGTTAGTTTTTTCGGGGGATATGTTATTTTGCTTTTATATTTAACTGGGGGGGAGTAGTGGGAAGTAGAAGAAGATGGATGCTCTAGATCATCTCAGAAGCTTAGCAATTACATACAAATAATAGAAGAAAGAATGCATAAACTCACAACTTGGAAACCACACAGTGTATTAACTTCCTGTCCTTATTCATGAGTATTGGAAAAACGATAATAATGCTACGCACATGCACATGAAAATCTGAACCACATCTAGTTGTCCCAGATTATTGCACCACTTACAGAAAAAACTTACCCAATCAACAATGTTATCGTCAAGGTAGTGTTGAGCTTTATCAATTGGTCGTCTACCAGTTATAATCTCCAAAAGCATGACTCCAAAAGAGAAGACATCAGACTTTTCAGTCAGCTTCCCAGTAAGAGCATACTCAGGAGCTAAGTACCTGCAAAAGGCAAGAAGTTAGTGAAAGAAAAGATATGGAGAGCTCAAAGATAAACATAAACCGTAAATGTTTAGGGATTAAATCTTGATTCAATGTGCTATAGCAACTGCAGAATAATACTGCATGAGGATGGAAACAGAAACGTCTTTAATAGATGATAAAAAGAGTATTACCCAAAAGTTCCCATTACTCGTGTGGAGACGTGAGTATCAGAGTCATAATTCAACCTCGCAAGCCCAAAATCAGCAACCTGGATCACATATAACAAATGCATCTAGCAATCAACTTACATGTAAAAGAAAAAAAAAAGAGGTGTTCATTCAGTCAGCACTAAACCACAGCAGTACCGAAATTCAGATCATATTTGATGGCCTGGGTTTTTGAAAATCATTACAACTTACTAAAAATAAATTCAGAGAATATAAGTCCAAAGAAAATATTTGAAGGAAAAAAGAGCAAGCACGCTTGTTTCTGTTTCTTACTTTAGATTGAGAAAACAAATCCTTAGAAGATAGTCAGATACTTTCCACTTCATATCAGGTCCCACCAACTTTTTGTGTCAAATGCCGTAATTCTTACTTTAATAATGCACCCAATTAAAACGTTGAGGTTTCAAAAAGAGAACCATATGGCTTTCAGTACTACATAAGTACTGGTTTATAATACAAATCGTTACCTTCTCAAAAAAAAAAAAAAGAGAACCATATGCCAGATTTTTGAAGCTGTCAACTCACATATGATGTCCATCAGTCTATCATTAATAATATCATCTTACTGTAATAACAGAGCTTGGTGGCAGTTATTTGACTGTTTTTTTTTAACTTGGTAACTTTGGCAGTTATTGACTTATTTCACTGTTGTCAATCGAAGTTCCAAGGTAAACGAAGGAGAGAAAATGCTCAGCCTTGATTGCCCCCTGGCAGGATAAAATTGCATTAAGGATTTAAGGGCACAGTTGCCTTGGGCATTTATGCAGTTAGAAAAGGAATAATCGTCACTAAACCTCAAAATTGTATCTTCTATTATTGTAGGGGTGTCTCTTATAAGTAGCCCGGTCATTCTCCACATGAATAAAGCTCTTGCTTTCTAAAGTAGATGATGGTGGAAAATGAAAAGGGCATGCTTTACCAGAAATGCTAAAAAAACAACTGCAGATTGATGCACACACTATACACACAGAGATGCAGAATTGTCCATTTCACCTTTGCATCAAAATTGTCATCAAGAAGAATATTGGACGCCTTGATATCGCGATGTATGATCTTGGGATGACCTGCCAAGGCAGACAAATTTCAACATATTCAAATGCAAAATCATGAATTCTTCCAACTAAAACAAGAAAGGTGATATTAATTAGTAGAATTCTGCAACTCATGAACATACATTCTTCGTGCAGATATGCCAATCCTCTCGCAGAGCATAAAGTAACTCTCATCCTAGTTTCCCAGCTTAGTGGGGGATGCTCCTTGCCTGCAGTTATATCTCCTTTTTATTTGTATTATAATAACAGGTAAAAGAAGTATCAATATCGGAATATTAAAAAGGTAAAAATAACATATTCAACCATTCGTGATAAAGAAAGCATTCAACTCTTGGGTGACAGCCATGGCAAGATAGACAACCAAGGGTATAATAATGCATCAAGATTACTAGTTACTTAGAACTAACACTTGAAAAGAACAAGAAAATCGCAGTTTCTCTCCGACTTTTCTAGGGATACCTAAAAAGATCAAATGACAATTAAGTTCAACAATGAGAGATACCTCTCCAGGAACTGTGTCCAAAACATAATAGAGGAAAACAAGGATTTGGGAAGGAAAGAAACAGACTAACTTGGAATATATACTTCACAAGTCTCATTCTAAAAATAACGAAATAGATTTAACAAAAGGCTAAAACTCAAAGGAATTGGTATCACAAAGTTAGACTTGTTTGTTATAGCTTGGGGACTGGACTGTTAGTGTGAATATGCCAATTTCTTCTTCGACTCACATGTCAATTTGAAGAACATTAAAAAACAACTTTTTTCCATTCTTCTCTTTCTCCTTTAGAAAACATGGTTTGGGTAAAAGGGCAACAAGAAGTGCACCGCACAAAATTTCCCGTAAGGCAAGGAAATCAATGTATCTCCCTAGTAATCTAAAAAAAGGGGCACACAACCTCATTGAAAATGGAGAAAGAGCATGTACCCCTTACCCTTCAACTCCCTCTCTTTGAACAAGACTAAATGATTAGTGCTCTTTTACACACATCAAAATTTGGTCATTTGTAACACCTGAACATCTGCGAGAAAGTTTTGTCCTTTTTGTAAGTTCAATTTTAGATCGTGTGGTACACAACTCTTCTGCTTCAGGAAAAAAGTTTAAAATACTAAATAAAAGCAAGAAAATCTTTGAATACTGAATAAGACAAGAAAATCAGTGAATATGAACACCCAAGCCCCTTACCCTTTAAATCCCTCTCTTTGAACCACACTTAATAATTGGTGCTTCTAATTAAGCTTAAATTTAGATCATATGGTGAGGACAACTTCTGCACCATTAAATGATTACAAAGAACCTCTAATAAAAGCAAGTATGGCAATTGACAGCAGTCTATGCTAAATTGCAGAAGACAAACTATCTAGATATTCTGAGAACTTACCATGCAAGTGGAACTCCAAGGTTTTGTTTGGGACAAATTCATAAACTAACAATCGTTGCACCCCTGAAATGCAGTGTCCAACCAATGAAACAAGATGCTTGTGATGAACGTGACTAATAATCTCCACCTCTGCTTGAAATTCACGCTCCCCCTGCCCACTTCCAGCTTTTAGTTGCTTAATTGCAACCTCCTTCCCATCACGGAATACTCCCTTGTATACATATCCAAAACCACCTTGACCAAGGAGGTTGGCGACAGAGAAATTATCAGTAGCAAATGCTAATTCTTGATAGGTGAATGTAGTTCTCGAGAAACTCAAGTTGGAATCAGGATTTGTTTGTTGAAAAGGTTTGTCAGTGCTGAAGTTACTGCCAGTGGAAGGTGGCAGTGGAGGAGTACATCCATCTGCTGCAGATACTTGTGAAACTGATGTAATGGATGGTGGAGGGGAGGGATTTATTGGAATCCTCACCATGTTTTCTGCTGAGGGAGGAGCATTTTGTTGCCAGTGATGATGTTGACCACCAAACAAATTATCTGAGCATGAAACAAGCAGAAACAAACCATATTACGTAAATGATGATGTTTATAATGATGATCTAATAATAATAATATCAGTAGTAGGTCATCATATCTGTGTGTGTATATATATGTGTATTATATATATATAATATGTGTGTGTGTTTGTGTATTATATATGTGTGTGTGTGTGTGTGTGTGTGTGTGTATTATATATATATATATGTGTGTGTGTGTGTATATATATATCATGGATTTTTAAACAAAAATTAATGTGGCTCCTCCTCCCCCCAAGGAAAAGGCAATTATACACAAACAATCCCCAAAGGAAGTACATCAGTTTCAACTGCAATTGATACTGCAAATAAGGGAACAACGCCACCAAGCAATTTAGCACTTTTAGTTTTTTAGCTTCAATTACTTACCTCCACACTGTTACTTCTGGATATACAAATTCATTAAAGAGTACTATTTAACAGCAAAATAATGTGGTATAGCTGAAATGCAATAATTTTAAATCTTAAATGCTTCTTCTGAGGCCATTGGAACACAAAATATCCCCCTCACCACCACTACTACTAATTTTCCCAAAAGAGTCAGAAATTTGATGGACTGACGCTTGAATCTTCATTCTATTCTTAATAGTCATCAACTCAACAAAAAAAAACACAAAGCTACTTCACTTAATTGATAGTTCCTTGGATAACAAGGACAGAATTCAAAAGATCTCATTATCACTAACCATAACCAAGGACATGGCTGAAAAATTAAAACACTAACTGTAATAAGTAATAAAACAAGGAGCTCCATTGGGGTCACTGATCCACCAAAGAACATGACAATATCATATCAGTGAGGTCTGCAAGGTGCATAGCAACATAATGTGTTATAAGTATGACTACAAATTCAAAATTTTTAAATCATATGAAACAAAATCTCTGTTTTAAAATAGACACTAGGGAACAAATACTCAAAGGTGCCAACAACTAAAGTCCAAATTTATATTCAATTCAGCAAACAAATCATTAAAAAAATACTTGCTTACAATCAGACTAGAATTAAATTATTCAATATGACTTCCTACCCAAATGACCCCAATAAATTAAGAAACAGTGAGAATGCAAGAATACTTCATTAAATTTGTTTTGAACACCAACTCAACTAATTAAAATTGCAATAAAAGGAAAAAAAATAAACGGAGCCCAAAATGGTCACCAAATCCAATATAAGAAGAAATAGTCACAAAGATTTCACCTTTAGGACCTTGTGAAGATGGATCATGACCAAAACCATTTAACCCAAGACGCCTTTTTCTCCTCTTATACCAAAGGGCAAAAATGCACACGCATATAAGCACAAGTGCTCCTCCAATCCCAATTCCAACTCCAAGTGCTACTAAAGTAGTATTATTCACCGACCCCTTCGACGGAGCACTCGTTGGAGAGCTTCCATTAATCGATGAGGGCGGCGGATTTACCAAGGTCGCCGGAGACGGCTGACTAGCAACATCTGGAGACGGAGGAGTAGTACTTGGGTTCACCGGAGATGTTGGAGTAGTTGCATTATCCGCCGGAGGAAACGGCAACGGCGGACCCAACGGCACTCCGGGGGGCCCAGTAGACATTACCGGAGATCACTTTTTTCTTTAAGACTAATGTTTTTCAGCTGTTTGAAACCAAGATCTTGAGATTCTCTAGGTCTTTTCGAGTGGCGTGAAGAACTAGAGTGGACAGTTGAAAGAGCACCAAGACAAACAGGTTCAAGACATAACGGAGAAACGTGAAACAGTGAAGAAGATGCAGAAAAGGAAAATGTTGAATGAAACGACGTCGTTTTGATGACCTTTAGCCAACTTGCAAAATATAGAGCACCTGCCTTTTTTTTCAAATACGTGGGCGAATTGCGATTGTTTTTAGGCTTCCGCATATTTTGTTTAGACATTTTTTGAGGGCCACATATGACTTGTCTTAATAACAAAATACTTTGAAGCGAATAGTTCGGGGTCTTAGAGGAAATGACGATGCGAGAATTATCGCTGAAACAGAAAATAGAAAAGGTAGAATCAAGAAAAAAATATTCAAATAGGAAAACAGATCCCGCGCGTGATTACGGCATGTGATTAGAGCTTTTGTTTTGCTTTTCCCAAGGTTCGAGCTTTTCCATTTTTGTTTAGTTTTCACATTAGTTTTATACGGCTTTGACACTACTCCTATGAGATAATTATAAGGTTTAAGATTTTAAAATAAACACATTATACTTGTCTATCTAATTTTTTATAATAATAATTATTATAATACAATTTTATTCTTTTAGTTTTAGTGTTACATCATACATGTTGTCTCCTTATTGCTATTTGTTTTATTCTTCGTTGTTTTTTGTGTTTTTTTTTTTTTGGAAATCCTAGAAAAATTCATAGGTGTTATGCCCTTGTTCCTGCACAATACTCACAAACGATACAAAAGATGTAAATTGAACTAGGCAAATCATGTGCGACGAGCTCGATTAGAAAGAATCAGATGGAGGAGATCCCTTAACATTTATTTTTATATACTTTATTTTTAATATATTTTATTTGAATCGAGTGTGTTTTAGAAAAACGATATTTCTACTTTTGTTCTGAAGATAAGGATAAGATTATCTACATACCATTTGTTCTGAATATAAGAATAAGACTATATACATATCACCTCTCTATATCCTTACTTATTAAGTTACACTAAACATGTTATAATTTATTGTTATTATAAAATATAATCGTGATAATAACAAGTTTAAAAAATTAATAATACGAAAATTATTTACAATAGTATACACTAGATCTCTCTATTCCTAACAAATTGAGTTTTTGTTGATAGTAGTAGATTACAGCTGCCCTTTAGAAGGCTTCTTGGCTTCTGTCGAGTTGGTGAACGACCATGAACCTTCGCCAAGAAAATATTTGTAGCCTTGTATTCTCTTCTAATTTTTGCAGGGTGCAACTTATTTTTTGTCATTTTCCCATGTATATGTTTCATTTAATAAAGATTTTAATTTTAATTATTTAGGTGTTATTGTTAAGTTTATTTATTATTTTAAAACTGAATATTTATAATACAAATTTTAATTATCAAGCATCGTTACAACCATTTATAATGAGTCTAAATAGTTACTACTCCTCTGTCCCTAATTACTTGTTCACTTTCAAATTGACACACCTATTAAGAAAACAATAATTGACATAGTGAGTCTATCATTTTACCCCTATTAATTATGAAGTAGGTGAATTAAAAACTTAAGATTTTCAAGTCTTTCTTGATTTGTCAAAATGGACAAGTAATTAGGAACAACTAAAAATGGAAAAATGGACAAGTAATTAGGGATAGAGAGAGTATGTAATAAAAACTATTAATACCATTGAGATGTTTATTGTTAAAGATGGTAGTAGTTATTAATTTCATCAATTCACCGGCACTAACACCCATCAGTACTATATTGGTAGTTGTTCATCATTATCATCACCATCATTATTCATCACCACAACCATTATTTTCAGCTGTAATTATCACAATTATCAATCACTATATGCAACCAATTATTATTATCACTTACCATCATTTACAATTATCATCACCAACGATTGTAATTACTACAACCATCAATAACTATGATCACTATCGTCAATCTTTTAATCTTTACTGTATATCGATAACCATTGTGGCTTTTTGGGTGTTGTGCTTATATTTTGTGATAGGATCAAAAGATTTAGTGTGTGTCGTGTTGTTATATTATGAAAAGACGGTCACTTATTAATGTCATTGTATATTTGTCAATTCTGATATTCATTACGCTTGTTCAGGATCAGTTTCATCAAATATATATCATTGGAATTAGACCAATACATGTTATAATTGCTTGATTTTTTAAAAATTTATTCATTTAGTCTTCTCTTTGTTTCTTTTTTATAATTTTACTTACTTATTCAATTCGTTATCTTGATCGATTCAATTCACGCGTCTTTTATATCTTACATACAAATTCAACAATACATTTTTGGGGTAAACAATAATTTATTTGTATGTCTTTTATATATTTTAAATTATTTATTCTTATGGCCTACAATACTTGCATGTTACTTTCTAATTGTGTAAATTATTTTTAAGAAATATTATTGTATGTCGGAATGCACAATTCAAAAAAAGAAAATCTAACCCTCAAATTTTGAGTTATATCATATAAATTGAGACGAGAAAAATTATATAAGTGCACGTTGAGGAAGTGCTTATGAAGTGTAAACTGATTTTAATGATCTTAAAATCTGTTGCATTCTCTTTAAAGTATGGCTTCTGAGAGCTTGACATTAAAACTAAGTAGATGTTTATCCATGCGATATCATATCACGATAGAGGTGAACTCAGGATTCGAAGACGACACAGGTGCATCACCAACAGCCAATGCACGTTACTTAAAGTATGTCACCCAATACCAATTCATATGATAATTTTATTAAACATAAAAAATATAAAACTAATGTACTAACGTATAAACATGAATTAAATAACCTTGTTAAATAAAGTTTGCTTTCTAGATTGATGGTTCTAAATTTCACCTTACACTATGAGGTCGTAGGTTCAAAACTAGTCATCCACTTATTTTATTCGATATTATTAAGCTTCACAAATAAAAATGAAAAATAAAAACACAAAAAGTTGTAAATGGGATTTGAATCCAAATCTCTCCCATCAAAGTATCCACCTAAACCAGCTCAACCAAATAATTTTAGTATCTTAGAATATTTAATAAAATATATATTTAACTCAAGGTATATATATATACACATATACACATAATTTTTCGAAGTTAATGGGTGCACGTGCACCCTCGAGGGCACATGAGGGTCCGCCTCCGTATCACAATATGAAATCGTGAGATGAAATCAGCGTTTGAACATACGGTTTCACGCTGATTTCATATCACGAGATAAAATGGGATTTGAATCCAAATCTCTCCCATCAAAGTATCCACCTAAATCAGCTCAATCAAATAATTTAAGTGTCTTAGAATGTTTAATAAAATATATATTTAACTCAAAGTATATATGTATACACATATACACATAATTTTCGAAGTTAACGGGTGCACATGCACCCTCGAGGGCACAGGTGGGTCCGCCTCCGTAGCACAATATGAAATTGTGAGATGGAATCAGTGTTTGAACATGCGGTTTCACGCTGATTTCATATCGTGAGATAAAATCTCATATGCTCCAAAAATCATGATTTGGGAATTCCATATCATGATTTGGGATTTTTAAATACAAAAATTGACCCACAAGTTTATATTTTGTTAAAACAATCCCACATTTATATCTACTAGTCATATATTTCATAAGTAAATAAAATTTATAATCATATTTTTACTTTTTAAATTTTATTATTCTCACCAACATAAAATTTATTATTACTTTAAATTCAATTCCTATTTTATCATTTATATTCATCAAATTCATTATTTTTATCAAATTTATTTATCAACCAAATTTATTACTACTACTTTAATGTTTAATTAAAAAAAAATCATCTATATTTAGTGGATCCGGCTCCTCTCCATTTCTCTTGTCTCCATTTTCTCCAGTTCTAGTCTTGATTAATGACATATGACATAGATCAGATTTAATGGCTAAAATTTAATTAATTAAAATATATCCCTAACCCTGGTTTACATAATAAATATATTATTATATCAATAAAAAATTGTCCTATTATTTCTCCCCTTTTCTCCTTATTCCCTCCAAATCTGATTGTTTCTCTCTTTTCGGTTTTCTCTACATTTAGATGCTGATGGTTTGATAACAAATATTTTCTGGGATGATGCTAAAATGATAAGGAATTTTCAGATTTATGAAGAAGTTGTACCGTTTGACACAACATATAGAACAAATAAGGAGTATCGTCCATTGGCATTGTTTGTTTGAATTAAATAATCATAAGGAGATGGTTGTATTTGGTGTTGCCCTTTTATATGAAGAAACAACTGAAGCATTTGAATGGCTTTTTTATGTATTTTTTTAGAGCTACGTCGGCAACAATTTTTTTTTTGGAGGGAGTAGGAAGAAAAGAGAGAAACAATCGGACTTGGAGGGAATAAGGAAAAAGGGGAGAAATAATAGTAGGGGTGTGCACTAGTTGGATTAAACCGAAAAAACAAACCAAATTAAACCGAATTCTAATCTGGATTGGTTTTTTGGATTTTTGGTTTGGTTTTGGATTTATAATTTACTTTGTTTTTTTGGTTTGGTTTCGGATTTAGAAAAATGAAAACCGAAAAAATCGAAAAAACCAAATTATATTATATGTATATATATATATTATATGTTTAGAATTAAGTTGGAGTTAACCACTTTTGTCCCTTTTTAGTTATTTTCATTATGATTTAGTTTTTTTTTTTTTTTTTTTTTTATGTTTGGACATCTATAATTGATATACTTTTAAGTATTGTGTTTTACTTTTTACTTGTGATTTATATTAAAAAGTATATTTAAGAATTTCAATATATATATAATTTTTTAAAAATTGAAAATATAACTTTGTTATGTTTCTAATTATTGACATAACCGATTAACCAAACCGAAAAAACCCAAACCAAAAAGGGAAAAACCAAACCAAACCAAATTTATTTTGGTTCGGATTGAGTTACACTTCTTCAAAACCAAAAATCGAAAAATTCAAACTGAATAGTATAAAACCAAACCGAAAAATCGAATGCACACCCCTAAATAATATGACTATTTTTAATTGATATAGTAATAATTTATTATGCAATTTTATAAATTTTTGTTTATTTGATAAGATAGAATAAATAATTGAGACTATTTTA